CCATTCCAAACACTTAAGTTTACAACGTAAATAAGAAAGTACCCCCCTACCAATATTTGGATTCAATTAAAAATACTAGAAAATCAAATTCTCAACAAATCAAAATATGAAAATCCAATTTTAGTGTAAGATACAATTTATACCAATATTGATACCTCAATAAGTCAATGTATACTTTATACTAAAATCTCATAAAATTGTGGTTGCTTATTTAAGATGTAAGGAATATAAACCGCCAAATATATCATTGAAACATTAGTATTTCAAAAGTTCATTTTTCATACTTAATCAAATTTTGAGAGAAAACGGTTTTTCAAGTAGACGTGTGTGTAGTAATCTATATTATCGTGCATCAAAATTTGACTACATATCATACTAATTATATAGCATGGCTTGGCTCTTTAAAAATTGAGGAGGAGCTCCTCACAATAAATAGAGTTTTGACACTTGTTAAATTCCTTGAACTATTTTTTATTTTGGAATTTTACAAGTGCCATTAGCTCATTTTAAGGAGCCAAGCCATGCTCCGAATGAAACCCTCCGCACTGCTTGCTTTCATTTTTCCTTCCCATGGGAAACTAAAGTATCCATTATAACTTGCGTATAATTGGAAAACTAAATCTTTTCCGCTGACCAAACGGAGGATCAAGAATAAGTCATAGTTTTATCCACAAGACAAGTAGAACATTATATATGATCATTGGCGGGCTAAATAATACATTATAATATATTATAGATACAATAACCTATCGGAGAATTCCTCCACTGTTACTTTCCACCAAAGGCTATAAATCTTAATCCTCCCCTATTATATTAACCTTACATCCTCCTAATGAATTAGCATTTCGCTAGTTGTGGTCTGTATGGTTGCCTTGCTGCTCTGCATGCTTAGGTCTTCCCCGCGGTTCTTCAATTCTTGGGACCTAATGCACTCCTGTATTCTTCCCTTCAATTCATTGCTGGTATAGCATGTCCGCCGTTAGATGGGAGCGGTTGAACGGATCCGACTGCAAATCACATGAAGTACATAAATTAGCACACAATAGGAGATACACTTCATAAGATCAAGATTAATTAGCAGTGTTGATGATGTACGTTATCACTAAGAAGATGCCTTTGGATGACAGGTCGGTCTACCGTGATTATTGAAGAAGGCAAGATAACTGGATCCTTCATGAAAGTGTACTGCAAGAAAGGAAATACAAATATTTATAATCAAAGCCGCGTTCCAACCTATTACCTACCCACAAACACAAAAAACATACCTGAATTGGATCAAGGAATTCATCTGGTATGTCCCCGAGAGCAGCTTCAGTGTCCATGCCCTCAGAAGCAGCAACTTTGCCTTTCGCACCAAGCTCAATAAATTCCTGTGTGACCCTCCCATCTTCTCCAATTCTCCTTAGGACATCCACTGCAGCACTAAACAACTGGTGAAATATCCAATGACATCCGTTTGCTTCCATTCAAACATAATGATGTTCTTGGAAAACAACTAGAAACCAGAATAATAATAAGAGTGCTGCTAAATGAACCCTAAAATTAATTGAGTACACCCTATGATCTAATTACACCCTAATATTTTAATCAAAATGTAAAATTAACTAAATACACCCTACTTTACTACCAAAATACCCTTGATACACCCTAATAAACTCTATCACACAATACCTATTTGATATTCATGTTTTAGTTCAACAGTTTAATTAGCCAAGTGGTGTTTTCTTTCGCTCCACGACACTGCAATAGAGCTGCACATGAGGTGGCAGCCTATGTTTCTAGGATGGGTGGTAATCATGTCTGGGATCAAGCAGGTCCAGGATGGGCTAGTGATGTAAACGATCTTATTCATCTTTAATAAATTTCCCTGATATTTTGACCAAAAAAAGAGATGTACTAGTAGAGTTACAATCATCCCACTTAGAAGAAAGCCCTATCGACAACCCCCAATTCACCCAAACTTCCTTGGGTTTGCTCGCTTTTTCTGGGGTCACAAGCCTATTTCATTCTCCACAGGTTTCCCAACATGGTTCTTTCGCTTCCTCAGTACCCGAAATTTTGTTGAACACTAACAAGTCTCATAATGGTTGGAATTAGAGAAGCATTTTTCTTGCTTAGGCCTTTTATTAGGGTTGAATATGGTGAGTAGGGTGTACTTATTAAAATTACATTTGTTTCACAATTCAATATATCTTTTTTAGTAATTTTATTTTAGGGTAAATTAGTAATTTAATAAATACTTTGGTAATAGGGTGTACTCAGTTAATTTTAGGGTTAGTTTAGCAGCACTCTAATAATAATTGCACAGAAGTTAAGTAAAGCTTTGCCTCATCTTAAGTACCTGCTCATCTTGACCGTCCAATTTATCTAGCGATCAGAATGTGCCACGTCATTTAATGAATTTTTTTAATTCTTTAAGTGTTTTAATCCATCAGTGAACAACTCCCTCTCGCCGACATCCCTTCACCTCTCTCCTCTGCCTCACCAAAATCAAATCAAATTAAGATTGAGCCATGACAAACACACGCAGTATGCAACAAATATAAATCCTACATAACAAACCCTAAATTAACCTCCCTCCGTACCCATTTCTCTCTCTCTCTCTCTCTCTGTCCTTATTATCAAGAAGAAAAGCAAGCAAACAGTATCTATCTCGTTGCACAGAAGTCAAGTAAAGCTTTGCCTCATCTTAAGTACCTGCTCATCTTGACCGTCCAATTTATCTAGCGATCAGAATGTGCCACGTCATTTAATGAATTTTTTTAATTCTTTAAGTGTTTTAATCCATCAGTGAACAACTCCCTCTCGCCGACATCCCTTCACCTCTCTCCTCTGCCTCACCAAAATCAAATCAAATTAAGATTGAGCCATGACAAACACACGCAGTATGCAACAAATATAAATCCTACATAACAAACCCTAAATTAACCTCCCTCCGTACCCATTTCTCTCTCTCTCTCTCTCTCTGTCCTTATTATCACGAAGAAAAGCAAGCAAACAGTATCTATCTCGATCGGCTCCGCACGTAAGTATTTGATTCATCAATCTGTCGAATGCTTAATTTGCTTTACTTTTATTTTTTGTTTCCGTGAATTCATCAGTTCTACTTGCATTGTTTGTTTGATAATTTAAGCTTGCTTAATTGATGAATACATATATGTTATGTTTTCATTGGATACTCTAAATTAAATATACATGTAAATTATATCCTCATTTGATTTTCGCTGTTAAACTCGATCGACTAATTGGGTCTGCTTCTTTTGTTTCTTATTGTTTTTCTTAATGTTGAGTTGGGTTACTGTTGAGGAACATGCAAAATCCCCCTGCTAATTGGGTCTGCTTGGCTGTTAACCTTGTGCAGGATCAATTAGTCTGTAACAGGAATGCCTCTCAATTCAATTCTAGTCATGTTGGGATCATAGTTGAGAGGAATTCTAGGCTATTTATTACAAAAGCTTTGAACAATTTGTAAAAGAAATAGCAGCTTCTAAGCAGAACTGGATTTATGTATGTGCTTCATTGTTTCTTTTTCTCCTTTCCTGCTTACTTCTGTTGTATGATTCTTATGTTATGTCACTTAAGTTATATATGAAAGAAATACAAAAATCACCAGAAAAGAAACAATTCTCCAAAATTTGATTAATTCAACAAACAAAACACCAGCTGCAATTTTTGGCAGATGCAAGGGTTGCTTGTGATATTCATGTTCTAGCCAAGTCAAAATCAAAGAGTAGATTGAAAAACATTTTTTTTACGAGGAGTTTGTAGATCAAGTGATTGAAAATATTTATTCATGCATCTGAAGTCTTGTATTCGATTTCCCAATATCGCTGGTGTTTATAAAACAAAAAAAGGAATCATAGACGTTCCAACTCTGAAGAGATGTAAGGCATTTGACATAGAAGAATAACAGCTAGGTTGTCGTATATTTAAGTAAAAGGCATGGACATGACATCAATATAATATGTACAAAGCTGAATTATAAAATATAAAAAAACAAAAATCAGCTTTGTGCATATTATATTTATGTCATGTGCATGCTTTTATGACAACCTACATATTATCTAAACCCATCTTATGTCCACCAATTGGTGTTCTTCCGTATCGTGCTGCCTCCTGCGCCATCCTAAAACCAGAGCATCATTTCATTATGTGATAATACTTATATCATCAAATCAAATGAATTTCTGAATTTCTCCCTTTTTTTTCTTCTATTGTTTATAAAGAGAATTGCCTTGATTTACCACTCATCCAATTTGGTACATGCTTTCCTAAATTAAAACTTATGGTCTCATGCTAACAAGGTCTAGCCAAGTAGAAAAGGACATTGATTTGCAAACAATGTGTCTCAAATTCGAACCCTCATGACATTTATTTTTATGTGTGTGTGTGTGAGAAATTCATGTTTCCTTAAGTTTAAATTATTGCTTGCACTATAAGTTTAGACTATAATTAATTTTCTATAACTAGACAGACAATGTGCACGCAAGAATGTGATAGCTAATCATGGTTCCATTGCAATTATGCGTCCCTAGATTTATTGACTCAATTCATACGTAATTCACTTTACCAAAAAAGAAGAGTAAAAGAAGCATAATTGCAGCTTTAAACAAAGAACGCCAACAAGCAACTAGTTTGTATCAACATCAAGTTGCTCTCATCTCATCTCAACTTTGCAAGAAAGCCAAAGCCCGAGTTTACCAGAGTCTGGGGATAAGACCAAATCATTTTGCCCTGATTGGCAACGACCTAAAAAATAAAGTAAATTAAAAGAGAAACTTCTATATTGGCACGGAAAACAATAGCAACTGAAATATTTGACAGACGCTCGTTTTGTTAAGTGACAACTAAGATCAATTGGAAAAACAACATTATCGCTACTTCCAAGCAAAATAATCACATGCTTTGTAGTGACTGTGTGGAGCCTGGAGAGAGGCTGTCAAGATAATAAATAGAATAAAATCTCCAAAAAATATTCTTTTGTGTCAAAATTTTGATTTTGTATTTATTTAAAGTTGTCAATTACTTAAGGAACCCAAGTTGCTTTGCTTTCAAGTGAAAACACCAGACACAGAACAAAAATCTTCAAAACAAAATGGCTTAAGCATCCTTTGGCTCCTGATTCTTGGATAGTAACCGATTCCGCTCCCAATCCTCCCACCTCTTTGGCAACGAAAAACCGTTTTTTTAACTGCCTTCTAATCGTTTCGCAAATCACAAACCCCGTGTGATGTTTTTTTCTTAAGAAAGATTAAAATTTTCAATCCAATTCAAAACTCCAACGTTTAAAATTGAAACTTCAAGAAGAAAGAGACCCTCCACCTTTAGTCCGTCCTAGTCGTTTGGTGCCAGAAGAAGAGTAAATCACTGATTTTGAGTAAGTTTCTGATATGGGTTTGCGGCATATTCACTTGTCGTGTACCCGTCCTGTGTTGTGTAGTTTCTGGTTTGCTGCTCTTTGTGTCACTAAAAATGAGATTTTTACTGTTTGCAGGCTGAATTCCAGTTGAAGATGAGGTGGGTTTGTTTCTATTGACTTTGGGAGATCTGGTTGGGCGAGGAGTCTGAGTTCTAAGAAGTAAGGAGGGAGATATGGAACCCCCAAAGGGGGTGTTGGCTTCTTTGTGGAACTTTATCTGTTTTCTACCTTACTTCATTGGCCTTCTTCTTCTTGGCAACTTTAAAGGTAAATATCAGTTTGTCCTTTGATTCCTTTTTCTTGTGCTAGTTGGTATTTCTGGTTAACTCGAAACTGATTATGTGGTTATATTAGGTTCTAAGTTTTGATGGGAAATTGATAATATTTTGGAAACAAGGATTTTATTGTTTTTACAAAACAGTTTAGGACACAACACAATACTGTCCAATCATAATTTTATATGTGCTTAATGTAACCTCTCCATCTGGCGTTGAACCTGTGATCCAATAAAACTGGGGTTCTTGACTTTCATTTCCCATTTGCCGAATTATTGTTTTCTGCTGATGCTGGACCTGGCAGTGGTTTGGTTTTCTTTTGCAGAACATTTCTATCTATATTACCATGTCTGAAGGGATAAGATTTCATCCACTATGTACAATAACAAGCCTGTGCCTTGAGTATCATTTTTGAATTTTGCTTGCTTACTATCTTGAAATGGGTTGTTAACGTTGTAACTAGGAGCGGATTGATTAGTTAAGACACATTGCTTGAAGGAGTATGACTTAAGGAAAACACGTCAAATCTAACATCACAGTATTATTTCAGGTATTCTGTTCTGCCCATTAATTTGCCTTATCATGACAATTGGAAACTCGGCTATCATATTGGGTCTTTGGCCGGTACACTTTCTCTGGACTTATTATTGCATGTTTAGGTGCGTCCCTTGGCCATGATGTTCTTTGTTTCATTAGTAATCTCTCTCTCTCTCTCTCTCTCTCTCTCTCGGCGACTTTGGGAGGAGGGGTTGGGAATCTCGTTCTCATGTTGTGGTAAAGCAACAAAAGAATAAACCTTTCTTGAGATTCTTCTTTTTTAATTATTTATGTATTCATTTTATAAAATGAGCAGAGCTAAACGATATGGACCAGCTCTGAAGATTGTTGTCTGCATATTTGTACTCCCCGTCCAATTGATCTTGTGGCCAGTGGTTGGAATCGTTGGAAGTATTGTGGGTGGAGCAGCATATGGCTTTCTTTCACCAGTAATGGAAACTTTTCAAGCTGTTGGAGAAGGGAAGACCGATCAATTGTACCACTGCTTTTACGTATGTCTTCAATTGTCAGTTGTGTTATAAATTATGTTTGCTCTTGTCCGCGCCATTATGGAGATTTTTCTTTCACAATATTTTGCAGGATGGAACTTGGAGCACTGTCCAACGGTGCTTCACTGTTGTAAGGGATTTTGGGGATGTTTGTTACCACACATACTTCTCGGTTATGGATGACCTGAGACAAGGAGGTCCTCCAGATGCAAAATATTATGAGATCAGGTATGTTAATCCAGGAAGTTAGGGATGAACTGCGTGATAATTTTCTTTATCATTTCAGTTTCATGTGGTTTGCTTTTGTGGTCCAGCAGTTTATCTCATGATCATTCTTTGTTTCTCACCAGAAAACTTTCCAACTTTCTTGCAGGGTGCTATATCTTCCTGGGGCTGTTATAATATCAGTCCTTGGTTTCATGGTTGATATGCCGGTGATCTCATTTATTGCCCTATGCAAATCCCCATACATGCTCTTCAAGGGGTGGCATCGTTTGTTTCATGACCTTATAGGTCGGGAGGGCCCTTTCTTGGAAACAATATGTGTTCCATTTGCAGGTCTTGCTATCCTACTCTGGCCATTGGCTGTTGTAGGGGCAGTGCTGGGATCAATGGTGGCCAGTATCTTTCTAGGTGCTTTTGCTGGAGTGGTTGTTTATCAGGTTTTTCTGTGCTCAATTTTTCTCTACCGAACTTGTTTGATGTTACTTGCATGTATCTCTCTGTGTATATTCAGATATTTTTTGTTATGTCCTTCTCATGTAGATCGTAAGTATTAAGAGATTGTATGACCTTTGGGTTACAGGAGTCCTCATTTTGGTTGGGGCTATGCTATATCATTGCATCCTTGTCCATATATGATGAATACAGCAATGATATCCTTGACATGCCAGAAGGATCCTGCTTTCCAAGGTTATAGTCAAGACTCTAAAGTATAAGGTTTTGATATGGGGTTGTGCACTTTGACATTATTTAATTGATTTATTGTAATGACAGGCCAAACTACCGAAAGAAGGCCAAATTGGTCCGAACCAATTCTCGTGGACCCGCTTTCTCAAGGCCCGGCTCCTTCCGAAGTGTTCCCTCCCGCTCGGTTTCGTTCACTAATCCTATCATTGAGTTGAAGCCCCTTGAGGTATGGTGCATGTGTTATGTGTTATGTTTAGCCTTAATGGCTGCTTCGTACTGGAATCAATTTTGCATATTATCTGTATGTGTTGGATGATGCATGGACTAAAGTGTACAATTTTGACTGCTGAGAACACATCCTATTTAGTTTATGGTTTAGGTGCTGATGAACAACTTTCATGGCTCGTGTAGCTAATTGATAGCTTATTTAAGGAGTGTAAACATCATGGGGAAATCATGGTTTCTGAAGGAATAATAACACTTCAAGACATTGAAGATGCCAAGTCCAGTAAAGGTAGCAGAGTTATAAGCATTGGCTTACCAGCTTATTGCCTTCTTCAATCACTTCTGCGATCTGCAAAAGCCAATTCGGCAGGCATATTGTTAAGTAAGTCAAAAAAAAAAAAAATTCCCTGAACACTCTTACCAGTTAACTTGTGTAATTTTGTTTTATAGAATTCTATACCAGTTAACTTGTGTAATTTTGTTATACTGAGATAACTAGCACAAATAGACCAAACAAACACTCTCTTTGATTGGTTTCTCCAAACTTCTGTTGTTTTACAAATTTTCATTTAATACTCTCACAACTGATGACTAAGTTTGTACCTGATTGATGTAGGTGACAATGTTACTGAGTTGACTAGTTCAAACAGACCAAAAGAAACATTCTTTGATTGGTTTTTCAATCCGTTGTTGATCATCAAGGACCAGATAAAAGCAGAAAACCTTTCTGAAGCAGAAGAGGCCTACCTTTGCAAGTTAGTTCTGTTGAATGGTGATCCTTTGAGGTCAAAAAACTCAAACATTGGCTCACCACCTGAATCCGAGCGTAAACAGGCTGAACTTGATGCATTTGCTCGAAGGTAGTCATGCAATTTTGCTTATATTACAGGATATTCTGATTTTTTTTCCCCTTTCCCTCTTTTCTCTGGTTCTCTATTTTGTGATTTATCCTATTTCTCATGTCATGTAGGCTCCAAGGTATCACTAAGTCTATCTCAAGGTATCCAACTTTTAGGCGTCGATTTGAGAATCTTGTGAATGCCATATCTGATGATCTTGCCCAGAATGATGGTAGCAGCAAACCAACCGATGGACCAAAAACAATTCCAAGATCAAAGAGTGCCTTTGCCCGATTGTTCAGCCAGAAATCTGTTAGTTTTACAAACAAAACAAGCAATCATGGGTATGATCCGGAGTCACAAACAGTTGTAAATGATGTGACAATCACTTAATGAAATATGTTAAAAGTAGACTTTGTTTTCTCGCTTTTTTTTCTTCTTCTTATTGGTTTTTTTAGAGATTATTTTTTTCATTCTGCAAAGGGTAGTTAACCTAGAAGAATGTATTTTTCGATGTACTGTATGTATTTTTCAATTTACTGTATACAAATATGATTGCAATTGCAAAGAGATGAATGTTGTTGGTGGATCTGATATGATACCTTACAATTGCTTTGACTCCTAACCTCTAACAAACGCTCTCATACGTGCTTTGCTTGTGATATCAAGGCTTCTACTCTATATATAAACTTATGCAGCTTTATTTTCTTTCAATCAAACTTTCATTTATCACCTGCTGGTTTTGGATTTGACACTGACCCAGCAACACAGTAAATGCTCCAGAACCACTAAACTCAACAAATACAGAACATGAAGCAGGGTTACCACAGTGGTTGTGGGCCCTCCGCCTTCACCCCTGCTTGGCACCCAGGATCGAAACCTTAGGTTTCTTTTCTCCCAATGTAACCAAAAAAGAAGTAAGCTATCCGGGATTAAGAACCTTTGATTTTCACACCATGTTCAAGTTTGTTGAAGTCACGACCCATGATCCACCATAATTCTGAACGTGCAAACTTAAAAGTTAGCTCACCAAAAGATAAAAAGATAAAAAGAAATTCCAATTAGTAATTGACCATGTCAAAGCAAGCCCCAGCTTCTCAGGTCACGTAACCTCCCACTACCTATGTTAGTGTAGCAACTAACTCTCCCACAAGTACTATATTAACCCCATTTCCACCTCAAACTATCTCACATCGCCTGCAGTTAGTTGTTGCACTCTGATATTCATCATCTCCTTGAGACTACCGAGAGCTTCTGTGTTGAAAAAGCTGCCCAAAATGGCTAACTGCAACATGAGCTGTGCCAGAGCAACCCTGTTTTTGTTGACCATTTTCATCTGTTTTGGCCATTTCTCAGTCTCTGCCTTTGAGTTCCAAGTAGGCGGAACCAAAGATTGGGTTGTGCCTCCTACTAATGACAGCAAAATCTACAACGACTGGGCCTCCGGAAACCGGTTCCAAGTGGGCGACACCATCCGTATGTAGACGCTAAACACATGCCATTTTCATGCTACTTATAATAATAACTATGGTTTTTCTTTTTCATAGTTTTATAATTATGTGGTTTGGTGCAGGTTTTAAGTACAAGAAGGACTCTGTTATGGAGGTGACAGAGGAAGAGTTCAAGAAATGCAATTCAACTCGCCCCAACTTCTTCTCCAACACTGGAAACACAGTTTACCTGTTTGACCACGCCGGCTCTTTCTACTTCATCAGTGGAGCTTCTGGGCACTGCCAGAGAGGACAGCGCATGATCGTTAAGGTGATGTCCTTGGAGGAATCTCCTTCCAGCGACCGCAGATCTTCTGGCTCTCGTGCTGCGGTTTTCTCAGTCTTTGTTCAGTTAGTTGTGTCCTATGTTGCTTGTCTTCTCTTCTAGTTGACATGTTTCATTCGTTTGTGTATGTTAATTAGGATGTTGATTGTTGATGTTTAATTCGATTTGGTCGTATTGTTGCTGTGTTTAGATATTCTAGTTAGTCTCTGGAGTCTTTGTTTAAGTAATAGCAGGTACCAACAAACGATGTTTAAGCTCTAGTTAATTTGGTTCGTACATTAGTCTTCTTGTTCTGCATTGATCGCTCGCTTCTATTTCATGACAGAAATTGGATGGTTTTGCATCTTAGATTCAAGCAGAGGAAATTTAAGTGTAAAAACAAAAAATACGAACATCGATTGATGGATCTTGCAATGCTAGTAAAATCAAAATTGGCCATCTTTGCTAGAAAGAAACTCTATGCCTTGAACAAATATATATCATTCAAATCTTTCCAAATACATATATACATACAAAGAATGGTGAAAACATGTTGTCATGTTGAAAATTTAAGTTTTCCTAAAATTGAGAAAATGTTTTATACTATACAAAAGTATGGGGACATTGAATTAAGGGGTTTAACAAGGAACAATCACAGAAAGAGAGAGAGGGAAGGAAGGAAACAACAAATTCCTTGCCATCAGACTAAGTAGCAGTGCACGCATGGATGGATTAATAATTTGTGATGATATGCCACAATGCTCCAATTACAACGTCTCAGATTCTCACTCCACCAAAGCCAGGAGAGCTTCACATGCAGCAAAACCACTTTTTCTGCAGTCAAATTAATCGATGTATGTATAATTCCCGAGAGTTACGCGAAGAACGAATAGAATGAATGAATCAAAGTGAGGGTAATTTGGTTGAAATGAATGAATGTTGTTACCTCTGGGGGATATTGAGAGTTGGGTTCTGGTTTAGATGAAGGTGTTCCAGTCCCAGGAGCCCCATTGGACATCTTCTGGTCTCTAGCTTTGGTAAATATCACAGTAAAACCTTCAGCTGATGCAGGGTTATTCACATCCCACTCTCCAAATTTGGGCAACGGTCGTCCAATATCCTGCTGCACATCCATTCATTCATTTTTAACCTCAATCTCAATCTGAAACCCTCTTCATTTTAACCAGTCCAAAACCATTATCAAAAGTTGCTATATGACATAAACTTCAATTCAACAATGACACATTTTTGGTTGCAGCTGAAATAACAATACAAGAATCAATTATATCTAAACCACCCTACGTAATCAACTTCGAAACAAATGGTTTCAATCAATCTATTTTTCGGCCTAAAAGCATCACAAAAAAGAAAAAAAAACGAGCAAGATGGCCAGAGATAATAACAACAATTAGAATCCGAATTATATATTCAATGCAGATACATAAGATTATGGATTCTGGAAATTAAGAAAAAAGAACATACCGATGCCATTCACAGGAGATACGCAGCAGCGAAATGTTAGGATTCAGAGGAAGAAGAGAAGAAAGAAAGATTGAATAACGAGAGAAGAAAACTGAGGCGTGAGGGTATTAAGGAAGCCTAAAGCCTACACCCATGCAAATGGCTGGCATAAATCGTCACCCCAAGTAGTTAGTTAGTAGTTATCACGTAGTTGTTGTACCGCAACTGTCCCCTCCTTTGCTTTGTCACAAATTCTTAACAATAATCTCAATGACGCTTCTAATTAATTCCAATTATCGCTTCCTAACTATGTTTAGCCACCTCCCATCCCCTCTTCAAACAAACTTATCCACGTTACCATAATGTACACCATATCAAATTTGTTTGGTGGCTATGTAAATTAAATTCGATTATTATTGGATGTATTATATTGAGCAACAATTCAACATATTATTGACTTAAAAGTTTATTTCAAAAAATAAAAATGATAATATATATATAACTCAAATGATTAAGAGCAGAAGTCCTAAATACGATTTCTCAACCGGCCAATATCACATGTTAAAAAAAAAATGACACTAAATAATTATAAATTGAATCGGGCAGTACCAGTCATCAAATGGATTTGTATCATCAAGGTTCGGCGTGAAGAATGGCCCACTTAACAAGCATTTGGGGCTTAGAGTAGCCCATCAAAGTTGGGTCAATTTCTTTGTGCCACGTGGCAATCATCCAATTGTGGTTCCATGGTGAACACGCGCCTAGAAACTCAGAAAAGCAGATATTAAAATCAAACGACTGCTGCATAAGCAAACCACGCTAACTCCTAAAACAAACGGCTCCTGATCGGACACGTCACCACAGAAAGACGGAATACACAGCCAATTACTACACGGAATTGAACTAATCCCTCCATTTAAATTTACGAACGTACCCTCGACTGCTCTACGTCTTCCCGCTTTATAACCCATTTTGGCATTTCCGTCATTTTCTCATACCCCTGAGAGTCTGAGACCCCAGGCCCCTCCACTCTCCCTCTTTCTCTCTCTGTGTATTCCTGTAGAAGAACACTGCAAGTGTAGAGAGTCCAGAAAGGCAACAATGGCGACGGGGTTGATACGGAGGGCCATAGCCGCAGGCGTTTCATCTGCATCGAGATCGACAGCGGCGTCGTTTCGGTATGTGGTGGTGCGGGGCATGGCGTCGGAGGTCCAGGCCCAGCAAGTGGACCTCAAGGCCCAAGACAAGACGAGCTTGAAAACGTTCTCAATCTACCGGTGGAACCCAGAAAACCCTAAGAAGCCGGAGCTCCATGAGTACGAGATCGACCTCAAGGAGTGTGGGCCCATGGTGCTCGACGCCCTCATTAAGATCAAGAACGAGATGGACCCCACCCTCACCTTCCGTCGATCTTGCCGCGAAGGGATCTGCGGCTCCTGCGCCATGAACATCGACGGCTGTAACGGGCTCGCTTGCTTGACGAAGATAGCGCCGTCGTCTTCCGTCGGAGCAACGACGATAACGCCGTTGCCACACATGTTTGTGATAAAGGACCTGGTGGTGGACATGACCAACTTCTACAATCAGTACAAGAGCATAGAGCCGTGGCTGAAGAGGAAGAGCCCGCCTACTGAGCCCGGGAAGGAGATTCGCCAGAGCAAGAAGGATAGGGCTAAGCTGGATGGGATGTACGAGTGCATATTGTGTGCCTGCTGTAGCACATCCTGCCCCAGCTACTGGTGGAATCCGGAGACTTATTTGGGCCCCGCCGCCTTGCTCCACGCCAATCGGTAATTCATTTCTCTCTCTCAATCCCCAATTTTTTTAGGGATATTGATTGGTGATTGATATATTTGCATGATCATCTCTTCGATGTAGGAATTATCCTTTTTGCTTTCTGTGATTATGAAAGTTTTGCCTTTTTTCATATTTGTTGTAGTCTGATGTTGCTTGATATCTTTCTTCAAGGATTACTGTTAGATTAGGTTAATGTTTGTTTATGTGTAATGTGAAAGATTGATGGTAAATTTGTTGTTTGGGTACAAAAAGTTTTGTCTATCTTTTTCATTGGGAAGTTTTATTGTGATTATTTTCTCGAGAAATGAAGTTTTTCTTTTTCAATGTGATTTTCATGCCAAGATTTGCGCTGCTGCTATCAAATCTCAGTGTTCTGTCTCGCGTGTTGAATGATGAATGACTGAGATTCTACAACAGTCGTATTAGTTGTGGCTCTCTTTAGCATTTACCTGATCAGTTATGCACTGAGAGTAGTGATTGAATAAGTTGCTTTTAGTTCTTATTTTCTTATCTTTTTAAAGAGTTTTGAGGAGCTAGGTTGATAGAAACTAACTCAAAGCTGCAGTGTCTGTGAGCTCACGACCTAGGTTGTAGTGCTTAATGTGATAGTTCTCGAAGGCGATGATGAGGGTGCTGGGTGCCATCTCCAAAAGCCTTTAATATGATGAGAAAATTGCTATGGAAAGAAGTAAAAGAGAAATAATACTATGATACAATTGCATAATCCATATCATATTTTGGCTTATTAACTTTTACACGGCAGTGCTTAATCTCATGTTGTTTGGATAGGATGCCTGTCAAACAATGTTTGTTCCTTGACTACCAATCCCAAAATCTGAATCTTGCCATAGAGTTGGGATTTCTCCTCTGCATATAGCATTTGTTTGTAGTTCTACATTATCATTGGTAAAGGTAAACACTAGATCCTGAATCATTCTTGTGGTGTTATGCAGGTGGATAAGTGACAGTCGTGACGAATATACAAAGGAGCGACTGGATGCAATAAATGATGAGTTCAAGCTCTATCGCTGCCATACCATATTGAACTGCGCTCGTGCCTGCCCAAAGGGTTTGAACCCTGGAAAGCAGATCACACATATCAAGCAGCTCCAGTTAGGAGCTGGTGCTTGAGTGTCTTGAGTTTAACAAGCCTAGTGTGTGCATTTGACCAGTAATTCTGGGAATTTTTTTAGGTTTCATCAATTATGCGGTTTGATCAAATAATTTGTGAACTGATTGTATCTTTTGTATCCCTTTTATAAAAATGGGAAGGAAGGCTGTTGCTTTTGTTTATAAATAAGTATTTATAGAACTCAGTCTCCCATATATATAGGCTTCGGCCGTGAGACACTGATCATCTCCTTCAGCTTCTGCATGTAGAAGCTTTTCATTGTTCCAAAAATGGGAAATGCAGCGACTCTGGCATATCAGAAAACACCATATGAAGTTCAGCTGTTGCATCACATGAAGTTTCTTCATGATACCTGCAACTCTCATTATATCAACCTTTTTATTTTTCTTCTTACCTAATAAGGAACCAGAAATGGAAAAATAAGTCATAGCCATTTCTTTTATAATTTTCTTATGATTCACGGAAGTTGTGATTGTTCTGTACCCCTTAGAATAGATATCCATCAAAGATTAAATCATTGTATTCACTCACACATTTATAGGATGATCCATACATATATGTTTGTATAGTAGAGATTTTCGTAGTGTGACGCATATCTCAAAATGGGTTAGGTTTTTTTCTCTCCTGAACTCCAACAGCTAAGATGCCTATAAATAGACACAGTTGCTAGTGAGAAAACTTCACCTACTGGGAAGCTAATCTTTATATCAATCCTATATCTTCCCATATATCA